GGATCAAAGGCTAGAAAGGAAGGCAAAAGGCCTCTCCAGTCCACAGATCTCCAAGATAAGTACTCCCTCCCACAAGTATGCGGAGTTAGCAGCAAAAGAGAAATGACTGGCTTTTCCGGCCCAAAAGTGATCGTGGTGATTGAAGGCACTGTGGACAGAAGTGCATGAGAGGCCTGGAGGGGAAAGGGAAGACTACAGACCTCTCACTGTAGAACTGTAGGGTATTCTCACTGCAGAGAGGCCCGACCAGCTGGCGAATCATCTGAAGTGATTTCTCACGTTCGTCCAGGCCCAGCATACGGACATGGGCCACAAGCCAAGCAACGGCACACACTGCCAGGCTGCACACCTTTCCCTTGATGTTGTCTGTGATTTTCTGGGATGGGAAACATATCAGCTGCAGGTACCAACCCCAACCCCAAGCCCTGCCCTGCACCCTTTCCTTGGACACTGCTGCCCCTAGGGAAGGATCAGAACTCAGCAAGATGAGCCCTGGGCCCACCATAATCCAGTATGCCCACACTGACACTGAGGGCTGGGAAAGAGAAGGAGAAGTGACCTAGACATCTAGAAATGACCATGGCTTCAGGAGGAGACACCTTGGTCTTAAGTTCTACAGATGGGGAGACCCTCCACCCTAAGGAGATGCAGTGATGCCCACAACTGGCACCTGGCACTTTGGAGAAGAGAGAAGAGTAAAGAGTGGTATGGGTGGGGAAATGAGGATGTCATATCCTGGGACCAAAGGGCATTACTGGGCACAGAGGGGAATGGCTACCTGGATGGACTCAAAAGCCAGGACTCCATTCTCCCAGGCATTCAGAATCTCCAAGATGGCAGCTGAGATGCTGAGACAGGCCTCATGCCACTTCATCTGCCTGTTGGGAAGAAATGGGAGGAAGGTCACCAAAATGGGAGCAAGAACATGGCCTTGAAGGAGAAAGACCCTGACTGCTGCCCCCACTTGCATCCTTCCAGGCCACCTACACTAGCTTCATTTCAGAGGTGTTGTTGAGCAGGGCAACCAGGGATTCCACGTTGGTAGAGTCAGGCCGGAAGCAGGGGTGGTCAGGATTCAGGATCTTGCCCTCCTCAGGCATACATGTCTGCATCCAGGTCTCAAAGAAAGGCACTTCACCCACAGTGCTTGATTCTGACAGAATGACCTAGATGATGAACAAGTCAAGGAGAGGGATAAAACATCTGCCCACCAGGCACCTTTACCACCCTGACAACAGGGCAGTGTGACAAAAGCCTCAGAGGACCACTGCCACCCCACCTCTGCCTGGGTGGGCCTCAGCCTTTATCCTGCCAAGGCTGACATTCTCTCTCACCCACCCCAGAACCAGGTAGTTTTAGGGGAAGGAGAAGAAAATGAGGCCTATGCCGCCATCTTGTGGTCAATGAAGATATGGTCCCTAAAGAGTCTGCATGAGCCTGTAGGGGAGAAAGGGGGAAAGAGAAAGGAAGGGTCCCTGTCCCTCTCCTGAGGATCTGGGCAGCCATCAGCCAGTGGCATAGTGTGTCATCATTCCTGAGACCTGGTGATCTAGGAAGGTTTCTCTGGCCTTCACAAATGGTTTCTTCCCCATTTCCATGTCACCAAGCCCCTTGTCATCCTCTACCCCATTCCTTGCTGCCCTTCCCCTCTCACTGACCTCTGAACCATAGGTCTGGGCCACATGGCACAACATGAGGAAGGAGATGTCAAAGAGCAGAGCACGGACTGAAGCTGCTTTGGCTGTGGGGAGTAAACGCAGAAGTGAGAAGAAGCCTTGTTTGCCCAGGGCTGAGGGCAAGAAGGGTTCAAGTCAAGGAAGGTCAGAAAGAGAGCAGCTCCATCACAGACCTGGGACTCAGGATCCTTTTCTTGGGGTTTCACTTTGAGCATCATTCCTCCCTTGAAATATGAGGACTTCCCAAAAGTCCTGAGCCCCCTTCCTTTGCTCTCTCTTCTCCACCCCAAACAGCAGAATTGGGTTCACAAAGACGACAGGCAGGTACAATTTTAGAACAATCCTTGGCCTGCCCTTACCTGCCCTTTTCAGGGTCCTTACACAACCCTGATTAGTCATCTATCATAGTGTAAAGACCACCCTCTGCATGGGTGTGTGTCTGTGTGTCTGTGTGTTTGTGCATTGGGGCAGAGGACAAGGAAATAACTTACAGTTTTCATTACTGATGTTCTTCGTGAATTCATTCAAGCTGTAGAAAGAGGGGGGCTGGGTCAAAAGAGGGGCCTGGGACAACAGGAACAGCTAGAGACAGCAGAAGAGGGGGGAAATCTGTGCTTCTCAACTAGTGTCAGTCACCAGCTTTCGGGTTATAAATCACATTACACTAAAATACAGCTTTATCACCACAATCTCTGAAAACATCAAATGCCAGCTGATGGTCCACTAAATACAAATTCTAGTACACTTGAAGAACTGCCTTCCCCTGGAGATGACTGGAACAGGATTTCACAGGAAATTATGAATGGAATGGCATGAGCTGGAAAGGTCTTTAAATGCCAGCTAGTCCAGTCCCTCTATTTTAGTGAGGAAATTTATGCTCTAAAGGGTCAAGTGAATGGCCAAGGTCACAGAACTCCTTAGCAGCAGAATCAGAACTTTCTAGGTCTCCTGCCTCCCTAGTCCAAAGCTCTTCCCAGTATAGACTCTCCTAACTTGTATTTGGTTAATGACTGGTCATTCCTTATGCCCAATATTTAAAGTGTCTTCACTTCCACTGGCCTGCCTGCCTGCTATCTTCTCTCCTACTCTCATCAGAGGGAAAACTGAGATAGAAGATGGAGACAGACAATCTAAGGGGAAAACTGATAATTCAATCCAGACAGCATGGCTCTGGGCTTTGTATGCATCCTGGGGGGAAACGCAACCAGAACATCTATTCTGGGGGCTCTAACCTTCTGTCCTTAGGACCTCTGGGACTTCTGGGGATTTACCCACTACCACCACTTCCCAGATCTTAATACCTGGTCTCTTCTAGACTTTTCACTTTTCTTTCCAACTTCCCACCTTTGTTCTTTTCAAAGCACAAGCATTCTAATACTCACCTAATGAATTTTCGGGCAAAGGACTTGAGTTTTCCAGTGGCAGCAGCAGCAGCTAACAGCAAATCCAGGCTCTTCCCAGAAAGCATGTGGCCAAGAACCCCCAACAGTCCTTCTGGGGACTTGGAGTGATCTGCATCCATTGTCTAGAAATAGAGACAAGAAGCTGGACTCTACTGGGAAATTGTCAGTATCCCAAAAACTCTCGTCTACAACCTAAACCACATAGTTTTCTCTCCAAACCCTTCAAATGAAACAGGACATTGGCCAACATTCTCTCATCTTTTTGTCCTGCTTTGGGAAGTCCTTTTGAAGTTTTGTTTTCTGACAGATCAGACTGGGACCAGGTTATCAGACACAAAATGGGGGAGGGGGCTGTTAAGGTACATGAGAGTGGCAAACTAAAACACTCTGGTATCATGGTAACTGTGTAAAAGTGAGAAGAGAAAGACAGGAGTTAACAGACTGAATTGCTTTTATCAAGAGGAAGACAAGTTCAGGGAGAAGAGACCGAAGTGAGGACAAACCTTGAGAATGTTAGTGACTGTGGGCTCTGCTCGAAGAATCAGCCCCGGATTGGGCTGGATGTTGGCATTTTCAGCTGATTTCAGCCAGGGGGATTGGTCTCGGTCAGCTACACTGTGAAGGGGATGGGAGTGGGGGGCAGTAAGAGTCCAAGTCAATTCGTCATCTCCTGAGGTAGAAAGGGGTGGCTGAGAGGCGAAGGGATAACAAGCACCTAGACCCCAACCAAGCATAGAGCACACACATTTGACCCTTCCCTGGGCCTCAATAACCCAGCCACAGTCACAAACTCAAACACTAGACAAAGAGGCCCCATCTGGGTCAATGGGCACAGGGAGTGGAAGGGACAGTGGCCAGGGCTGGCCCAACTACACATACACTTACCGCTTGGCCATCAGGCTCTCTTTGTTCACCTCAGAGAGCAGTCCTTGTTTACTACACTCCTGGAGCAGCATGTTGATACAATCACAGCTGGGAGAGAGGAGAGGGGGAGGGAGGGAGAATGTCTGAATAGACACACAGGGGAGTCTTCAGAGCAGAGGGCATCTGACTTCTTCAGACCTGCTCCAGTTCTAGAAGCAGAGACTTCTAGAAGCTTCTCTGGGGGTCTGAGAAAGGGAAGCAAGGAAGCACTAGACTGTGGACAGGCTGCAGGTTTGCCTGCCCCACCTGGAACAGGTCTACCCAACTCATGGGGAGTTCTGTCTGACCAAAGTCTTTTCTCCCACTCTTTCTCAAGGAAGGAGGTATCTAAGGGGACTGGATCAGGAGATGAGACATCCTGACGTGTAACATTCTAAAAGTAGGAGGAGGGAGCCCCAGAAACAGAATGGCTTCTCTTGGGCACATCAGCCAAACAGGGGCCCTGGGAGCACTCACTTGCACCGATGGTCAGCCTTGTCGAGCAAGGGTGTGAGCTTCAGCAGGAACTCAAAGGCACAATTCACATCCTCAGTGAAGTCCTACAAAGAGCCAGAAACCCCAATCTGGGCTCCATGCAGCCTTCTCCATTTCTAGTCACACATGGCAATGCTGGGCACAGGTGTTAGTTATTCTGCTAGGCCTGTGGCCCAGGCCAACTGGCTGGGTGTGCCCAATGTTGTGATGGAAAGAGAAGTGTCATCTTGCCTATTCTGGTAGTAGGATGATGATGGTGATGATGATGGTGATGATGATGATGATGATGATGATGTGTGTGTCTGTACATGTGTGTTTACTTGGGGATGAGGCTTTTAAATATAACAAGTAAAATCCATAGGATTACAAAGGAAACCAGTTATATTGAGTTATCAAAGTATTTTCAATACATAATTTCCTGATCTAGAGGCATTCAAACAATTCAACTCCCTGAAGAGTTTCTAATAGCCCAGCCTCAGGATATAACCATAAATTTCCTTCCTTCTCACTGGTTGCCAGTTTCCCTGTTGGGCCATAAATGGTTCTTCTCTTTCCTCTGTCCTCCTCAGGTAGCACTTTATACCATAATACAGTCTGGGGCAACTCACCTTGTCCCCCTGAGGGTATTTCTTCAGTTTCACCAAAACCTGAGGAATCTAGAGGGAAAAAGAAGAAGAAGGCCCGGGGGAATCAATTTCTTCTCCTTTCTTCCACCTGGCCCAGGAAGAGAAGCCCCATCCCAAGCACAAACTGCAACATATCTATCCCAGTAAGAGACAAGAATTCACAGATGCCAGACCAGAAAGAGTCCAGTGTGTGTCAAAGCACCCTGGGCTAGTCAGCTCCCAGTTTCAAGGGACCATGGCTTAGGGTACATTATCACAGAAGTGGTGTTAGAGATGAGTATGACCCCAGAGAGGTATGGGCAATCCCATGTGTCTCCATGTTCTGGCTCCCACCCCACATTCCTGCACTATGATGTGGCAACTATTGAACTAAACAGAATCCCAATAGTAAAGAACAAAGGGATCAGCCACAGAGCTCAATTTAACTAATTTAAAGCTCAGGAACTATGAAGAGGAACGTGGCAGAGGCTAATAGCAGAGGGAGATCATTTGGGTTTAACGTGGCCTCTTGCTCCCAATCCTTCCCCCAGTACCTTGAGGAAAGTGAAGGCTGTCCACTTGAGCTCCTCAGTGCCCTCAGGGGATTCAATGAGACCCACAAAACAAGCTTTCCAGATCTCCAGGACAAAGAGAGGGGTGGGAATACGCTAAAGTAGAAAACAAAAACAATCATGTACATTTGGGGTAGGGGGACACCAGACAAGAACTCCTGATGGGGAACCTTCCTCTACTAGTACAGATCAGCACAAGTACTGCAATCCCAGCCAAAGGGAGTTGTCTAGGGCCCTGTGAGATGACATGACTTGCCTTGGATCACAAAGCCAGCATGTGTCCCAAGGAGACCTTGAACTCACATCTTCTTCACTTGGAGCTCGGCCTTCTAGTCACTAAATCCTCATAATTATATTAGTGTTTTAAAGTTTCCAAAGCACTTACTTCACAACAACCCCATGAGGTAATTCATTTTAGCACCTTCATCCTACAGCTGAAGAAATTGAAGGCAGTGCACTGGCCCAAAGTCAAATAGCTAGTAAGATTTTAAACTCGGTCTTTCTGACCAGTGCCAGAATGGAAGAGCCCTTCTTTAGTCTTCATTCTAAGAACTAGGTGATTAAGGGGTGACCTCAAACTGTATTAGAATGGGGGTCCTCAACCACTGAGCTCTCTCAGTAACTGTCCAGAGGCTTCTTCTCTCAGTGCCCAACAAATACAGCTCAATGATCTGATTTCTAGCTGGCTGGGCTGCCCAAGGGATGAAGGCACACACTGTCCCCACACCTGCATCCTCTTCACCATCATCAGCTGTTCAACCAATGGCTGCATCTCTCCTGTCAGATTCATGGTGCCCTCCAGGAGGACCACAGCATGCACTGTGGGGAACCCAGTCTTGTGCAGCTGCTCTGAGTGCATAGACAGCATGATAGGGATGCTGAAAGGAAGACAAACAGACTAAGTTTGGGTAAGGGAGTAAAAAGTGCAGAACAGAGAAGAGTTCAGACCTGTAGGAGACATTTGGGCTCATGGAACTCTGTTTTGCCCCCAGCAGGCTCACTGGACTGCCTGGCACATCCTCCTTTTTTGTTTTTTTAATCAAAAAAAACAAAACAAAACCAAAAACCCAGACATTTTATTGATACCTTTTGTTTTGGCATCACATACATTTCCCAATATATTCCTCTACCTACCCTGTCACCCCCAAAGAACCATCCCTTATGATAAAGAATTAAAAGACTGGTACCTTCTAATCAGTACTCCACATTCTTCTGCTTGACTCTGGAGATGGGAATTGCTAAGGCTGGCAAAGGTCTCCCCAAGCTTCAATAATGACTGCTCAATGGCTGTCCAGGAGGCTGTTGGAGAAAGACAGGAGGAGATGAGAAATACTAGCCTCTTTAAAGGCAACAACTCACAATATTAGGTACTCTCAGAGAATAACAGGGTATGTACCCAGGGACGTAAGTGGTAGCATGCACTTTCTGCTCTTTTCTAAACAGGGTAGGAACAACAGTGGATGAAATTCCCAGAAAGTTTTCCAAGGCCTCTGACATCATGAGAGTTTATACTGCTGATACCACTACTAGCTCTGTATCCCAAAGAGATCAAAGAAAAGGGAACAGGACCTATACGTACAAAAATATTAACAGCAGCTCTTTTGGTGGTGGCAAAGAATTGCAAACTGAAAGGATACCCATTGTTTAGAGAATGGCTAAACAAGATGTGATATATAATTGGGATGGAATACTATTATGCTATAAGAATAACCAGCAGGATGGTTTCAGAAAAACCTGGGAAGGCTTATATGAACTAATGCAAAGTGAAGTGAGCAGAATCAAGAGAACACTGTACATAGTAACAGTAATATTGAAATGATGATCAACCATGAAGGATTTAGTTATTCTGGTCAAGACAATGATCCAAGACAATTCTAAAAAGACTTAATGAAAAATGCTATCCACCTCCAGAGAAATGATGAATTCTGAGGGCAGATTGAAGCATACTTTTTTTTACTTTCTCTGTTTTTTGCTTTTTATTTTTATTTTTTTGTCAACATGGCTGATATGGAAATATGTTTTATATGATTTCACATGTAAAGCTGATATAATGCTTGCCTTCTCAATATAATAGGTAGGAGAGGGGCAGAAGGGAAAGAGAGAATTTGGAACTGAAATTAAAAAAAAACCAAACAAACTAATGTTAGAGGCAACTAGGTAGCATAGTGGATAAAGCACTGGCCTTGGAATCAGGAGGACCTGAGTTCATAGATGGCCTCAGACACTTACTAGCTGTGTGACCCTGGGCAAATCACTTAACCCCAATTGCCTCTAAAAAAAAAAAGTTAAAAAAAAATTAATGTTAAAAACAAACATACATCATAACAAGTCAAGATCCAGAAAGATTTCAATAGGTTGAACATTTAGGCTAAATCTATAAAATGAAATTAATAGAGCTAAGGCTTTGTTGTTATTGTTCAATCGTTTCAGTCACGTCCAACACTTCCTGACCCCATTTGGGACTTTTTTGGCAGATACTGGAGTGGTCTGTCATTTTCTTCTTTTTTTTTTTTTTTGTGAGGCAATTAGGGTTAAGTGACTTGTCCAGGGTCACACAGTTAGTGTCAAATATCTGAGGCCATATTTGAACTCAGGTCCTCCTGACTCTAAGGCTGGAGCTCTATCCACTGTGCCACCTAGCTGCCCCAATAAGTTCTTGAAGCTGGATCATTACACTTAATATTTAATTACATTTTAAAAAAGAGGAGTGTTGCAGAAAAATCGCTGGACTTATGAATCAAAAGAGATGCATCTTTCAATCTCATCAGAGTTCTAGTACTTCCCAGATATGTAATTTGGGTAAATCACTGAAACTATTTGAGTCAAAACTGCCTCACCTGTAAAACAAAGATAATAATACTTACACTAAATAATTTACATAGTTCTGTGAGAAAAAGCACTTTGCAAATGTAAACACACTACACAAATGTAAGTTCATTTAGTATTAGGATCAATGAAGTTACTGGTATTCATCATGGAATTCCTGAGAGTCATATATTGGACAGGACCATATAACTGATAGACTTCGAAATGTTACAAGAACAACAAAATACAAGCTATGAGATCGAGTTAAGACCCTAACCTGTTTTTATCTAGTAGTCATCTTTCTGAACCTCTCACATGGAACATAAAAGTTTTCCTAATTAGTCTTATCTAGGAAACCAAACTCAAGGCTGCCCTTCTCTACAGTTAACATCTAGTCAGTTAAAATCTGGGCACTTAAGTATCTTTTCACCTCCAGGGACTCAGTCTGCTTCCATAGTTGAGGTTTTTCTTTTCTGCCTCTGAAGGTTCTGGTATCACGTAAAATAATATAAGTAAATAAGCATATGACACATAAAAGCATGCCATTATGAACATTTAAAAGGACATCTGGGACAAGTACATATGTCAAGGACTAATTTATTTCCAATGACAAACTAATAAAATATTGAAGACCAGGCTACCAAGCAAGTTCTTCCTCTTTGCTATTTTGTATTAACTTTCTCATCTACATAATAACTGCCTTGTCTCCCCAGTTAGAAGAAGAGAGCTCCTTGATTACAGGTGTATGTGTATCTTTTTTTTTTTAATTTACACCTTTAATGTTATGCCAATCAAATCATTAAAGGGAAATTTTACAGAACTTGATAAAATAACAACAAAATTCACTAACCAAAATAAAAGATATAGAATATCAAGGAGAATAATGAAAAGAGTTAGGGCAAAGGAGGAGCAGCATTTCCAGATAGTCAAAGTATATTATTTTTAAAATTGTACATTTTTTAATCAGTTAAAATATGCCTTCTCAACCTCCCATCTACCTACTACTAATTGAGAACAAAACCCATTACAAACACATAGAGTCAAGCAAAACAGATTTTCTCCTTGGCTATGTCCAAAAAATTATTTATCTCATTCTGTATTCTGAGTCCTTTACCTCCCTATCAGGAATGTGTAACAGGTTTCATTATTAGTCCTCTGAAATCATGGTTGGTCATTATAACAAGCTTAATTTTTTCAGAGTTGTTTGTCTTCATCATAGCTTGTTCAGCCTTTCTCCAACGTATAGGCACTCCCTCAGATTCCCAATTTTTGCCATCTCAAAAAGAGCTATAATATTTTTGGGAATCCCTAGAGTTTGATTTGTTTAGGACTTATCTCTCCCTTTATCTGCCCTCCTTCTACCTTTTCTTTCTGATTTCCCTCCTAAGTAAAATAGATTTCTACACCCAACTCTGTGTGTGTCTGTGTGTGACCAGTTCAGATGAGAGTGAGGCTGAAGTATCAGCTGCCTTCTCCCATGCCCTCAGCAACCATATATGTGTTCTTGCTAACCCGGATTATATAAAATAATTTTCTCTAACCTTCTTTTCCCTTCACTTTCCCCATGTATCCCTCTTCCCCTCTCATTTTTTTCCTTGTAGAATTATACTCAGTTTTTCTGGGTAAGTTATTTTTGGCTATAAAGCTATATCCTTTGCCTCCTGGAATCTCATATTTCAATCTCTCCATTTCTTCATGGTGGTGGTTGCTATATTATGCGTGAATCTGACTATGGCTCTGTGGTACTTAAATTCTTTTTTCTGGCTGCTTTCAGTGTTTTTTTTTTTCTTTGACCTAAAAGCTCTGGATTTCGGCTATAATGTTCCCAGGAGTTTTCATTTTAGGGTTTCTTTCAGGAGATGACCAGTAAATTCTTTCTCTTTCCATTATGCCCTCTGATCCTAAAAGATGTAGACAGCTTTCTTTTTAGATTTCTTAAAATATGTCTAGGCTTTCTGTTTGGCCATAGCATTCAGGCAGTCCAATGTTTTCCAAGTCAGTTGTTTTTGCTATGAGATACCTTACCTTTTCTTCTATTTTTCCTAGTTCCCCCAGTCTGAGCTGTGCAAGTTCCTGACCCGCATTTGGGTCTGAACAAAAATATATTGCTGCTTGTCTCAGCTATCATCTGCCAGCTAGAATGATTTGCTGGCTCACAGTGAAACTGTAGGTTTGCCTTTGGTCTGGGATTCCTGCCCTCATTATTTCTCTGAAGGTTTCCAACTGAAATAGAAGCTGAAACCTAGCTCTGCCCCTGGGGTCTGAGCTACACCTATCCTACCTTTCTCAGTATACTGCCCAGGACTTTCCTACCCAAGAATGCCATCCTCAGGGACTGGGATTTATCATTCTGCTCTGGATCTTCGGCCTGAAACTGGGTAGCAAGTAAGTTGGCCCGGGAGTATGTATATCTTATACCTATTTTGTATCTCCAGTAGTACTGAGCACATTAGAAGGCATGTGGTAGTTACTCACTAAAAACCTCTTGGTTGACTGATAGGGAAAACAGAATGAATAGGGTGGGATGAGGCTGGGTTAGATGACCTGTGAGATCCCTTCAAACACTTAAATCTGCAAATGTATAATGGGAAGGAAGGTACTATAGTCAAAAATTCCCAAAACACAATCAGTATTTATAGGGAGAGAAATAAAGAGGATATGGGATAGTTTCACAACCCATTGAAAAGGGTAATAGCACCCTGCTTCATCTCCTTTGACATCACATACTAGATATGGGAATGGTGGTGAATGAGAATTAGAAGGCAAAGACAACATACAGACTTCCTCCAGTTTGGCGACATGTAGCAGGGCTCGATTCTTGGTGCTGCTGAGGATCTTCTTAAGTTGCTGAAGACACCTGGTGAGCTGTTTCTCCCCTGTTGTGGCCCCCATCTCAAGGCCCTCCCGAAGTCGCTCTGCTGAGGCAGTTGTGCATCGAAGCAACCAATGAAGGGCACTGAGGAGGGCACGGCACAGACCTATGCACTCCTCTGCCTTGCCATGACAACTGTGGAGAAAGGAATATAGCCCACCTGACTCTGAGTCTCCCTTCAAGTCCAATCACATGGCCTCCCTCTACCTCACTCACTACAACAACTACTCTTAACCTTTTTTTGTCCTGGACAACACAGGTAGGCTGGTAAAGCCTATGCACCCCTTGTCAGAAAAAAGTTTTTAAATGCATTAAAAAAAAAGAATAATAAAGAAAGCCAATTATGTTAAATATAGATATCAAAATATTATTTTTTTTTAAGTTCATGACCCCAAGTTAACACCCCTGTACTAATTCTGACCAGCCCCAACATGATTTCTTTCCTCACTCTGCCTTGGAAACCCTCAGAATTCTTCCTCTGGGAACTAAAATCACAGGGGCCAAGAACAAGAATACAATAAGGTGAAACAAGGCATAAGTAGCCCACCCAACTACTCTCAGCCCATTCTAAGTTTATTTCCCAAATTAAAAGTCAACCCCTATGTTCTCTGTGGGGAAAAGAAGCAATGAAGCTACCTTAGTCGGTCACAAAACATGTCCATGATATCCAACAGGGCCTGGATACAGAGGTCACGGGAAAAATCATCAAACTGTAGGAATAATAGAAAAGATGATTTTCAAGGCCAACCCATCTCTTTCTTCCAGTTCATGGGACTCTCTACCCACTCTTTCCTGGTGATTTCTGTTGGGTTCAATTACCACTTCTACGCAGATGACTCCCAAATCTATATAACCTGACCTAACCTTTCCCCTGAATTACAGTCCTATATTGTCAATTGCCTGCTGGACATTTTGACCCAGATGGCTCGCTGGCACTTGAAACTCAACATATCCAAAACTGAACTCATCCTCTTCCCGGTTAAATGCACTTCTCCTCCAAATATCCCAATTTCTATTGAAGGTCCCACCATCTTCCCAACCATCCAAGTCTGAAACCCTGCAGTCACACTTCTAACTCTTCCTTTCCCCCTTATCCCCTATTTTCAAATAACTGCCAAGTTTTATTGATTCTAATTCTATAACATCTCTCCCATCCATCAGGGTCTCTACCTCACACGGCCACCACACTGGTTCTGGCTCTTACCATCTCTCACAAGGATAACTGTTATAGCTGCCTAACTGCTAACTGGTCGTTTTCCCTCCACTCTCTCCTTTCTCAAATACGTCCTTCATACAGCTGTGAAAATAATCCCTCTAAGGCACAAGCAAGCCTGACTCTGACACCCCCTTGCTCAAAAAACACCAGTAGTTCAGTACCAAATGAGATTAAAAATGCTTATTTCCTTCCCCACTCTTCTCCTAGTTCCCTATTGCTCAAAGAACAAATTGCAATATCCTTACCCTGGAATTTAAAGCCCTCTACAATCTAGTTTCTACCTTATTTTGCATTATTTGCCCCTCTATATACATCCTCTGTTCTAATCAACTCAACTACTAGTAGTTCCTGACCTGGTCAAGCTAACCTCCACTTCTTTGCATTTTTTCAAGTCACTGCCCACACCTGGATTGCACTCATCTCAACTTTTCCAATTTCATAACTTTCTTCAAGACTCAGCTTGGATGCCACTTTCGATGAGATGATGACCCCATATTACTGCTCTCTCCCTGCTTAAACATTCTTAGGGCACTTTGCTCTCTCCTTTGCCCACTTTACTGCTTACCTTGTATTATGCTTAACTTTGTACATAACATTTCCTGCTGCCAACCCCAGCAGAATGAATGCTTTTTGAGCTCAGGGGCTTTTTCATGATTTCCTCGGTGCTTACGCAGGCAGTTTATGTCTTTATTGAATTGGATGATACAGAAAGGACACCCAAGTACCACTTTTCAAATGCTTTCTATCTTATTTTGGGTTCATGAGTAGTTATACCCAGAGTCCTTCAGCACCAGAAACTCTCACTTAGTGGGCAGTTCCTGTTGACAGCATAATGTGCCCTGTATTTCTGGCACGGGAAAACAACGTCTCAAGGATTATCTGATCAGAAAAAGCAAAAAGCTGTAAGGGACTCTATCAATGACATCTACAACACCTCCTACACCTTACCGGATTACAATGGAAAAGAGGTTAAGAACATACCTTGCTGATGGCTGTGAGTACTGTCGAGTAAGACACCATCTGAGGGAGAGAAGCAGATAGGAAAGAGAAAGAGCGTAAACCTGAGTCAAGGAAGAATAACTGCCAGCTCAAATGGTGTGTTAAGTCAATGTTTCTAATCAGAAGAGGTAGACTTAGGAACAAGGCATATCCAGGAAATCTCGTTCTTCCCCAAATCATTCTAAGAGTGGTAGAAACATGCAATTCCCTCATTCCTTCTTTGACAAAAATGTGAATGGGTGTCAATAGTACAACTATTAAAGAAATAGCTGATGAGTCTTCTAAGGTCCTTTGTTTATGTTATAACTCATTTATCAATTGCATGCAATGATCAATCAACTGAGGATGGGCTAGAAAGAAAAACATAACTTCAATCAAAGAGAATGACCGTTATGAACAAGAACTAAAGAAAAGGATTTTTTTGTAGTAAATGATTTATAGAATGATAAAGTCAAAAAGGACCTTAAAGTTAGCTGGTTCAAGCCCCTCATTTTATCAATGAGGGAACCGACGTAATGAGTTTGTTGAACTAGTATCTTAGCTACTGTACAACTTGATTTGCTTTTAAGGACACATTCTTTGGAATAAATGCATTCCAGGAAAGTCTGCTAACAAAGAAAATTTCTTTTAAATGAATGCATTTAAAAATACAATAAATCTTGTGTGTGTGTGTGTATGTGTCTGGCAATTTGGGTTAAGTGACTTGCCCAGGATCACACAGCTAAGAAGTGTCTGAGGCCAGATTTGAACTGAGTTCTTCCTGACTCCACAGCTGGTGCTCTATCCACTGTGCTACCTAGCTGCCCCAAATCCAATAAATATTTTAAAATTATATATTGAAAGGGAAGTAACTGATAAAATCGGACTGCTACTACTACTCTTAATATTTATATCAATATTGTACCTTCTTAAACATTTGTATCTCCTGACCATAAAAAAAATAGGGGAAAAAATACAATTTAAAGAATTGTAATTTTGTTGGTGTGGGTATCTCTTCCACCAATGAAGATTACAGCCATTCTCTAACTTAACCAAGCCCATCTCTGAAGTCTTCTCAGTTTGGAAAACCTATCAGAGTTAGTCCTCCACTGGCATAACCCTCAAGAATCCAGGGTCACCTACATAACATATCAGAATAAGCCTGTAGTAGAGGATCCAAAAATATAAAAAACTAAAATACAATAACCAAGCACTATTCATAGTCAAGAATGTAATGTTTGGCAAATTAGTAAGTATCTATGTAAAATGAATATCCTGCTCCTTATGACTTATGTAGGTCTATGTCCATATTAAAAGGAATGTACTGATCTTTGTTGGATATTAACTTGTTGTAGAAGTTTAGCTAACAAACTAAAGAATAATACATACTATAAAAAGAGTGTGGTACTCTTGCCAATGATAGAGGCAAGAACTCAAGGATCCCTAAATTTTACTAAGTTCTTTGGCTACCATTTCCTTCAAGTGAATAAATAACAATTCACCAATCCCTTAGTTACTCGAGTAGCTAGTTGGTGCAGTGGTTAGAATGTCTGGTCTGGAGTCAGGAAGACCTGAGTTCAAATCCAGCCTCACACACTTACTAGCAGTGTGACTCCGGGCAAGTCATTTAACCCCATTTACCTCAGCTTCCTCATCTGTAAAATGAGCTGGAGAAGGAAATAGCAAACCACTCCTACATCTCTGCCAAGGAAACCCAAAATGAGGTCACAAAGAGTTAGACAAGACTGAACAACAACAAGGTCCTTAAGTTCAGAATTCTGTCAAGGGAGTTTCATTTCACTAAGTAAAAGATACCTGTAACCAGATCAAAAAAATACAAAACCACAGAGAGTTCACTAAATGCTTTTTTACATAATGTGTTGTTAAGTTACATTCCACTATAACTACTTCAGTCTTCAGTATCTATTCACATAAAGGCAAATGTCTAAATCTTATCTCCCAGCAGGCAAAGAAAGCTCTGTGCAACTGGCACAATACTGTGCTGAATAGGAAGTCACCACTTTTTTAAATAAAATTTTCTCTTATTTTAAAATATAACATATTATTACTTCATTAATATTATGAAGTATTCTGTTATTCTGAACTTAACAAATACCAATAAATGTGAATGTTTTCATGAGCAAAGAACAGTAAAAGAGGATTATGGAACTATAAATCCCCATAACTTCTGCTTGTTTTTCTAAAGGACACAACTTCAGCCTGTTAGTTCCAAAGCTGTCCTACTTGCCTGTGTTTCTCTCTGAACAGGCCCTTATTGGGTGATTCAGATACTGTTGTTATCCCCTACTTCATAAATGCTTTCCTTTTATATGCATCACCAGCAACTCCAAGGGGACTTCCTGTTTGGTGGGCATGGAACAAGCCACCTCTGGTTCTAGAGAGTAAGAGGGAGCATACCTGGGAGCTGATGGCATACTTCAGGTACGACAGAATGAGAGGGTTGGGGGACGGTCCGATCATGGCCTGCTCCAGCAGGGCTTCTACAAGGGGAACACAAAAGCAATCGGGCTGATTGGGGGGCCCCTCCTTTCCCCTCTCCGGACAGCCGTCCTCTCCCTCCCTCCAGACCTGCCAGATTGAGGATGTCCCAAGTGGCTCCCTTAGGGAAGAACTTCTTCATGTTGATAGCCCACTGATAGTCGCTCCATCGCTCCTTCCACGCCTGCAGGATGGCCTGCTTGAGATTCACAACCTTCATGGCTCCACGCTAAGGCGGTGCGGACAAGGGGAGGCCGGGTCAAGACTAGGGAGACGAAGCTCGCCTAGTTTCGAGGGTGGGATCCCCCACGGGCTCTCCCCGCTTCTCGTCCAGCAGCCAGCCCCAGAATGGGGCAGCTCTGAAACTGGGACTGACCAGACAGCAAGATGTTAAGCCGGCTCCGGTTGTCAGCAGCAGCCCCTCAGTGCAGGGGTCCCCTGACCTTCTCCCCACACGCTCTCGCCATCCCAGCTTCCCCTTTTTCTCCAGCCCCTCTTCCCAATTGCAGAGCTTTTGGTGGAGGAACACAACAGACTCACACACGGCGGAAGTCACTTCTCTAGCCGGGAAGCCACTTCTCTAGCCAGGAAGCACGGCCATTTTGGCTTCCGCCTAGGAGCTTACATCTAATTGGAAGACAGCAGCCACCGAAAGCCAATGGAAATATCTGAAGAATTGAGCTTGGACGACCCTCGCTTGATTTCTGGGAATTGTAGTTTTAGACGCGCTGGGGAACTGAGTTAGGTCGCTAGCGGAAGCTCGACCTGGTACCGCCCTCAATTCTCTTTTCCTAGGACGCTGACGTCATTGCACGATCCTGCAAAACCTCGGCTCCCGGCGTCACGGTCAAGTCCAGAAGTTCAGAGTTTTTCTTATATCATGGCATGAACCCCTTTAACAGGCTAGTAGATCCTCTGAACTTTAAATAATGCTTTTAAATGCATAAAATAAAATACATGAGGCTACAAAGGAAATCCGAAATTCAGTTATTAAAATAAAAAAACAAAGTCTGGGACCTGAAATTAAGTATCCTTGAATCCTACCCTGTAATAAGACTGAACAACAACAATGAGGTCTTTAAGTTCAGAATTCTGTCAAGGGAGTTTTGTTTCATTAAGTAAAAGATACCTGTAACCTGATCAAAAAAGCACAAAACCATAAGGAGGTCACAAAATGCTTTTTTACATAGTGTGTTGTTAAGTTACACCTCACTATAACTACTTCAGTCTTCAATATCTATTCACATAATGGCAAAATCTTATCTTATCTCCCAGCAGACAAAGAAAGCTCTGTGCAACTTACACAATACTGTGCTGACTAGGAATTCACCACTTTTTTAAAATAAATTTTTCCCTTATTTTAAAATATACTATTACTTCATTATTATTATGAAGTATTCTGTTATTCTGAACTTAACAAATGCCAATAAACGTGAATGTTTTCACTAGCAAACCTTGTGACGTCATTTCTCACGTCACTGTGCCTGCTGTGGGTTGGGTGAAGGTTGTGGAAGGGTGCACTGAATTCTACATCTCCTGCCCTGCTCTAGAATTCTCTTCTGTAGCTGAGAAGGCTGGGGGTATGTGGGGAAAGGAGAGTACCCTTCATCCTGGTTTTGCATAGGAAATTATGGCACAAGATAAAAGAGGGCCCTTAGTTCACCCCCAACCATCAACATTCCTCTTTGAATGGGGGGAAACTAAGGTACTAAACAAAGGTGTCTCATTTATTCCAAGGAGAGAGTTCTAGCTGTCCGAATGCCAAATACCACACATCCAGCCTCTCTGAATTAGCAAAGGGGAAACTGAGGAATGAAACAAAGCTGTCCCATCTATTCCTAGATGAGAGTCTAGCTGCCCAACTCCATATGTCTCAAGCATGCTGCATTTTCGGACATCGGCCTTCCACACTGGGAGCAAAGAACCAGAAAGTAGAGGAAAAGGAGTAGAGTGCAAGAGTCGCCAGTCCTTCCCCATTTCTCAGAAATTGAGGCTTCACAGCATTTAGCAGCTAGGTGGAGCCATATATAGCGCTCTGGACCTGGGGCTGAGTTCTTAATCCAGTCTTAATGCAGGGCGGGTCACTTAATCATTGTCGGTGTCTTCATCTGTAAAATGGGAATAATAATAGCAACTACCTAGCTGAGTTGTATTGAGGGTCAAATGAGATATCTGTAAAACACTTTGCAAATCTTAAAGCACTATATTTATGCTACTTACTATTATTATGTGCCCTTCCCTCTGAAAAATTCCCGTTCTCCTCTCCTTGCTCCCTACCCTTCATTACTGGTGTTCCTATCTTCCTGACACCATAGGGAATAGTGTTTATATAAAACAACTGGCAAAGCAGGAAGAAAGATGAGCTGGAGCCCTTCTGCCACATACCTCACTGTGACCATCTTTCCATCCCAGGAAGTTCTCTCTCTCTCTCTCTCTCTCTCTCTCTCTCTCTCTCTCTCTCTCT